GTCAAATTTGGTTTGGTTCTGCATCTGTCCTACACCAAAAACTACGCCATCAAAGAAGAGAGAGTTTTAGCGAGTCGTTTTTCAAGCACACGGTTCCGAAATCACGAACGGTACAGCTGGTCGGTTCCGTGAAACTGTACGTCAAATTTGACATACTTTAGCGAATCGTGAAAGTGGCGCGACCATGTAAACAATGACGATAATTGTGCTTAACGGTTACGCCATCTTCTAGTAAACATGTGAAACATTCTGCAACGTGTAAATCCGTGGCGACGGTGGCTCACACCGTGGTGGCGGCTCCTGTTTCCGGCGTACGACTGATGCAAACAAGACGGCCGACGTAACATTTGCCGGTCGGAATTTCAAGAACTGCGAAGCTAGATAGAGTGAAAAGTGTTCAAACGACCGTAAAGGTAGGAGGTGTGTCTCCGTTATCTTGAACTTGAACGATCGTTCACGTTGTGTGCCGTCGAACCAAATCGTTTCGTCTGCACGCGGTCCGCACGGTAGCTACTCTACCCGCAGGTCGCAACAATTTACTAGCATGCGCAGTTTACAGCATTCACGATCGCTTACCATTGTGAGCAGTCCACGAAATGATTTGGTTCAAACTCTCAAATGAAGCAGACTAACAGGACGGCAAATCGCCTCCCGCTGTCCTAAGCCTAACGCTCGGCTGGGTCGGCGAAAGCGGTCGCCGAACCGAATCTTTCTTTTTTTTTTTTTTTTTTTACCCGAGTCGTGAACGGTGCTGGCTGCGTTGCGGTGACGACTCCAGCGGCCGGAATGGGAGACACGAACGAGAAGAGCCTCCCGACTCCTCGAACGACTTGCGCGCGCATGCGCAGTGGCGTCGCGGATGCGTTCGCGGGCGAACCGTTCGTGTGGAAACGACCTGGCTAAAACTCCCTAATAGCTTACGCGTCCGACCGAATCCGACAACTTGGCGGAGAACGTTCGCAGCATGGCCGCAGACGACTTACTGTTTAAAGGGGTAGGGAAACGAAATTTCAGCGCTCATTTTCTGGCTTTAATATGTTGCATGTTGCACCCTAACCTCAAAAACACCAGTCTTCCGTTGAAAAGCACAAGAAAACTAATTTTAAAGCTAAATGAACGATCTTCAATGTGCACCTCATGGATGCATGCGGAGCCTATTTGGGAGGTAGTCTAGCAACGTTGTGGAGACTGCTGCGTAGTCGTGACGTAGCAGATTCCTTCGGAGCAGCGCCGCACTTTGGTATTTCAACATTTTTCTTCTTAGCTTTCCTCCTCAACTCACAAGTCGCGCATTGTACCAAACGGCTCAAGAAGACGGAAAGGAAGGACTCCCCTCTTTCTCGGACCCTCGTTCGTGCAACCGGACATAGCCATTCTCCCCCTAGAAGATTAGCACGTCGCTCAAAACTCGAACAAAAGTTGCTTTCCCCATCTCGTTCAGCCCTAAAGGCCCTGTCACACTGAGGCAACAGTTGGACAACTCTATCCGGCAACACGGGGAAGTCGTGTTGCCGGCGACCCTGTCACATCGAGGCAACAACAACAGTCGGGCAACATGCTGCTGCCGCCCGGCAACCGTGTTGCCCGATGTGTTGTCCGACAACCCTGTGACACCGCGCTGACGGCGAGGACAACACGGGGAACACTCCGCCATCTTGATTGTTTACCTTCGTTCGTGTGCGGCGCGGAATCGCTTGAAATGTGACTCTACAAAGCGCTAGTGCGTTCGAAGGGCCGGGAATTACCACGGTACGACATCAACTAGTGACTGTGATTAGAAAACTTGACACAGGGAGCATTTTTTCGCTCTTTATTTTATCGAAATGTTCTTCATTTGCTGACAAAGCAGATAGCCCTAACCGAGGAAAGGGACATCGCTGATGTATGTTTGGGATTTACGCCACCGTATGAAGTGATTCTGTCCGGTTCTTTCATGCAATTTCTATTTCTACTGTAAAATTGCGTTAGCACCGGCAGTACCCCAAAGCGTCTTTTGTAGCGTGGTGTTGAGCTGAACTGACAGTGCTTCAAAACTGCGACACCGACACCATCGGCCTTCATAACAATCGGTGAAATAAATATTTTTCAACGCTGTCTACTGGCCTACCGCTGCTACGTGATCGCTTCATTCGCCCAAAACGTCCTGGGTATTTTTAAAACAAATCAGGTGTCTGGTAGCGGCTCTTTCCAAGTTCCAAGCATCAACAATCATGATCAGAGTGGTCGTTTTATGCTTCGACTTTTTAATCTTAGGTTTTCTGGATTATTTTTATTATACTTTATTAGTGGGTGAGTTGGCATGCCATTTTATTTCACTATCCGTAATGTGCGCTGGACTCTCGGGAGATCTAATTTCAAAACCAGTCTGAACATTCACGACCGTAGCTGTGACCATTTCGAAAATCGCTTTCCGTAACTACGCAGCAAAAAACATTAATCGAAAAGAGTTTAGCTGCACGCCAGCCCTAATTATTGTTAAATAACGTTTTCCAAGCCTTTGTTTGAGTAAGACTTCATTGATAGGGGACTATAGCTCTACCATCGAAGCCATCTATGTTGTCGTGTTGCCGGCCTGAAATTCGCTCAGCCAGCGATCAGGGCAACACTCGTTGTCCAACACAAGTTGCTGCTGTTTTTGTTGCCGAAAGTTGTCATACCGAGGCAACATTTTAGTTGTCGTCCATGTTGTCGTGCTGTTGCCGCGGTGTGACAGCTTTGTCCGACAACACGGGGAGCGAGCAACAAGTTGCCCGACTGTTGGACAACGTGTTGTGTTGCTGTTGCCGTCGTGTTGCCTCAGTGTGACAGGGCCTTAAGCTGACAGTGTTGTGGAAGCTAAGTGCTCCTTGGGCCAGCCACACGCTCGTCACCCCACGGGCACTTCGAGCGGCTCGGTTGCAATGCGCTGACGCTATTGACACCATCACAACGCTGACAACGCCACCAAGGGCAAAGCTCATAACCACGCCTGCCTTGCTACTCCACGAACGCGGGAAATCTTTTCTTTCTGTTTTTGTTTGCGCCGGATATCCCATGACGCATCGCGCTCTCTGTTCGCTTCTCTTCGAGCGCTTGCTCGAGTGCACCGTTTGGAACGAAAAATATGGCCAATCGTTCCAAATACAAACGCGCGATTATCATTTACGGTTATTATCCGTCATGCTTGACTCATTTCCGAACGAAATCTGAATATTTCAATTTTTGTTTCCGTACCCCTTTAAGAGGCTTTTCGTGAAACTGTCATATTAGAAGTATCAAAGAATTTAAAGCACCATGATTAAAAAATGGTCGTGTAATTGAAAGGCGATTTAAACCTCGTGCAAAGCAGTAAATAGAAGAAAAAGAAATATATTTGTATATCACATTTGGCCATTGCTGCTGTCTTAGAAGTCAGCGGTAATGATCAATACATACAGCTTCAAAGTGATACCATTACTGAGTATATTGACATCTATTTCCACTTCCTGATTCTTCCAAACTGCGAATTCTGCGGCGTAAAACTAGCGCGGTGAACTGAACACTCGTACCATATAAAAAACCGGCATGGCCGCGAATGGCGTCGCGTGCGAGCCACACTTACCGTACACTCAATTTTAAGAATGATTCCCAAATAGAACATATGCAGTCGTTATTATATCGTATGCGTCGTAGCTTAGTTCTTTGAATATTTCCTTTTACAGAATATCAAGACGCATGACATATGTTACGATTTTGGTTTACAGACGCTTTACAGATGCGCCAGATCACAGCCTCCATTTCTTACCTTCTGATGTCTTACCGAGATGCCGAGTCACTGAAGCGGTCGTTGGCGAGCCTCCACAAATATCAATGCTGGCGAGAAGGACAGTGTCAAATCTCAAATGGAAATATTCTGTAAGTGTATGATGATTATCAAGTGAAGTAACAGAAGTCAAATGAAATAAAACGAACCAAAAACGGGAGGTCGGTTATGGTGGCACCCATGCACAGCTGATGCACAGCGTCTGTACATCACGTTCATGGCGTCCAGACCGGATTAGAAATGTGCTACGTGCCATCTACACGCTCATTGTGTTCGTATGGCTTGATCCCGGCACGCACCTCGGACGCGCCGCTCCGATACTAGGGCTTTCTTGGCGTCTTTGGTAACAGTCACTGAGCAATAACAAAAAAATATTGACAGCAACCATTATCTTGAAAGGCACATGTTCCATAAAATGCAGTATCTAAAGTAATGAGACGTCAATTTTATCGTTAAATTTAGCAGAAACCTAATTGTTGAATAGTTCACGTGAAGTCAGGTCACGTGACATCAGTTTTCCTATCAAATCTAGAAGGGAAATGGATTTGATGTAAAGTTAACGTGACGTAAAAGTTCTAGCTCAATTTAGTAGATAAACTGAATTGATCTGTAGGCCTCGGGATGCCCGGTCACGTGACGTCAATATTCTCACTAAATTTAGTGTGAAAACTGCCTTGGTGTTTAAGCCACGTAACATCAATTTCCAAGGAAAATTTAACGAATAATGCTCCAATGGAAGGACGGACAACATTTTCGGACTGGAGCTACAAAAAGCATTTCGTATTGGCTTGTTGTTGTTGTAGTTTTTCTGTTTGTTTTTTTAACGGAACTTTTCTACCGCCTGATATTTAATGTTTTTTAACGCAATCCCGAAAGAAACGTGTCATGATTCTCTTTGGGTTCCGTTTGTGTTCTTGTTCTCAACATACGATTTAAAATGTTTGTTTGTTTACTTATATGCCAATCGACTTTGACGGTGGCATTTTCATTGTAGGCAGGAGTTTGTGTTACTCTGTACTTGACGAAGAGCAAAAGGCTACTTGACAATCGCTAAAACAGCGCTCAGGCTTCTTTCCGCAAAACCCTAAAATGTGGAGCCCATTCGGTCTTAATATAAAGCGACGCCAGACTCACCGTTGCGTCTTCAAGCGCATCCTTCGACTACGAGACAGCAGCGACCTCAAAAGCCTCCGAGACCAACACAGAAGAAGCTTCAGTCATGAATTCCTTCACCCTTGCTCTCGTTTCCAGCCTTCTTCTGGCAACGCTCGTTGTTACTGCCTCAGATGTAAGTTCTCAATATTTATGTTGGCTTTTGATGAAACGGATTAAATATGGGGCTTCGTAAATGTTCTAATGCGGGGTTATGTTCTATGAATGCAAGGCACCAGGAACCCGCAGGAACTCCCTTTAAGAACGAATCGACATAAACCGCAATTCTCTTCTTTTTCAGACTTGATCGGAGTCGATTTATTCTTCAGGTATACGATATGTATATACCAGGTGTTTCATCGAAGATTTCAAAAAACGGGACTTGGTTTTCAACAAAGGAAATTTTTTTTACGGGAACACACTGCCAGCCACGGCCGACGTCAGGGGACGCAAAAACATGTTAATAAGCTCACTTAATAACTATAATTTACAAAAATAACTTTTATATAGTTAAACTAAACATATGTGGTTTCAAATATAAACTTGCTGAACATTATCGAAAACCACTAAATCAACTGATTTGAGAAAAAAAGTAAGGCACGTGCAGCATGTTACGGCGTTTTAAAGAAACGCTCAATTTAGACGCGTTTCCAGGTTTCTGTTTTCAATCGGAACGAACCTTTTCGCCAGCGGTCATAGCCCCCGTCGCAGCGCAAAAGTTATTTAGTTACTGTTCCGGTGGGGTATTTCATACTCCATTTCACCTTCAGTCTGAACGCAGCCGACGCTACGGGCTGATGGGAGCAATCAAGCAGCATAGAAAAAGTACCAACATGGTTTTCGTCATGTTTCTTTACATGTTCTATCAACGCTGAACAAATTATGTGCAGGAAGGCCCTACTTAAAGTGTAGCTCTCTTATTGCCACTCTCCTCATGGCATGCTGTTTACAGAACAATGAAGGACAGAGTTGCGAGGGCATAGCTCTTCCAACTACAAAGTCGTGAAGGTGTAATGTTCAACAGGCTACCCAGCTAGGCTCATAAATGTTTATTGAAGGTTTTGCGACCTCTCCATCTCGACGATTATACGCAAGTTTATTCAGAGAAGAAATGTCTTACCCAGGCAACGTTATTTTCTGAAAAGTAAAAATAAAAATATGGACATCAAACGGGAAGGGACGTGAATCTAAAGTTAGCCGCGCTATTATTATCGTTCTGGCTTTTATTTTGTGGGTGTATTTTAAAAGATACGCAAGACGGGAAGCTCATAGTTTTATTTGTTGATTTCGTGCCTTCTTTCCGGATACTTCACTGTTTATGTTATTCTTCGCCTCTGTACGATTTTAACATTCGGGCGAGGACAGCATAGTGAATTCTCTAGTTTAAATTTGGGTAACAGATAATCTTGTTGTTGTTGTTGTTGTTGTTGTTTTTTAACAGCATTGTAAGTGAGTCATTTACTTTAAAGGCCTGTTCACACATACAATGGAGCGCTAACTTAGCGCCTCATGACCGCTGGAAGCAGCGCTCATGGGGCACCGACTTGCGCGTGACGTAGCGCTCCATTTGCGCTTCAGCAGCGCAGTGTAAAGGACTCTTCAAACACTTGCATTTGAATGCGTTTGACTCCGATGCGTCGAGAACCGAAAGCGAGTCACCGTCACATCTCTGCTTCGTATGAAGCGTGTAATCGAAATCAAGGAATCATCTTGGCTCGCGATATAGGCAGCAGGTATGTCCTGGTTTCTCGCAGCCGCAACGCAGTCAAACGCAGTCAAACGCAACTGTCTGAACCAGGCTTAAGCGCTCTTAAGGCCGGTTCAGACACTTGCGTTTGAGTGCGTTTGACTGCGTTGCGTCGAGTACGGAAAGCGAGTCACCGGCGGATCTGTGCTTCGTATGAAGCGTGGAATCGAATTCAAGGAGTCATCTTGGCACGCGATATAAGCTGCAGGAATGTCCTGGTTTCTCGCTGCCGCAACGCACTCAAACGCAGACAAACGCAACTGTCTGAACCGGGCTTTACGCTCCTTGTGCCGTGCTTGCTGCTGCGGAACAGCGCGTGCACAGCGACTCCGTTGTTATTATTTTTTCTTTGCCATTGAAAGCAGAGGAAGTACAAACGAGTCGCTCTCCAGGCAAACAATCGGGTAAACGATCCAGAGTCATGGCCTTTGAGCGATTAATTGACAGGATAAACCTAATCGTTTTCTGTTCGACGTGCGTCACCCCGGTTTCAAAATCACGCAGTTAACAAATGATCGCCTTCGAAAGAGCTCTGTGTCTCGGTCCCTCAGCCTGGAAACAAGGTTCACCGGATACCCGTCGATATATCGGTGGCGAAAGATTTCGCGCACCCAGAAGGCTCTTTTGGGCGATAAGCCGTCTACACAGATATGCACCAATTGCGGAGATAAGAGCATTATTCGCGTTTCTATTTCAGCATCCACATGTCCGCCGTGGTGCGGCTGATGCACACCCAACCACAGGAACAGGAAACGCAGTGCACGCGCTAATCCACAGCAGTAACCGTGCTACAAGAGGTTCTAACAAGGCGCTACTGAAGCGCTCACAAAACGCTATTAAAGCGCTAACAAGACACTACTAAGCGCTAATCGAGCACTATATTAGAACCAAGTCACACGCGAGGAAGCGAAATATGAGCGCTCTTTGGAGCGCTCATGTAGCGCTAACTTAGCACTCCGCTGTATGTGCGGAACAGGCCTTAAATGTACTAGAACTCCCCTCATAATTAAGGCAGAATAATATATATTTAAACTTAGACATCATTCTTTACGTAATTTGATCTTAATTACATTTATTAATGACAATTGGCATCCTATAAGTCAGCGAATATATTAGTACAGTTGTCAACCTGCAGAAACCATGAAAGCGAAACGAATACCACCAGAAAATAAGCTATAAATAATGGCAGTGTGTCTTCTCAGCAGACCACACTGGAAGCGTATTACATCAGCCTACAGACGTGAGCTCAGTAAATGACCAAGCAGAAAAAACATGCTCACGGAAAAACTTTTATCTTCAATATAAAAGAGAACATGGTGTTTTCCAGGCGCACATCATACACAGTGACATATCGCCGACTCCATTTCAAGGTTGAGACATTTTGTCTTTGTATTTCTAGGCCTCTTTAACAAAGCCTCCTCCATAGATTGCAGTGGGTTGCTCTCCGAGCTCATTGCGCGAAAGTAGATGCATGGTCATTTTCCGATGGTATAATGTATATGTGCGTGAATTAAGAAAAAAAAATGTGTTCACTAAGCACTCTTTAAGCGGCTGAACTCTGTTCAAACGTAACTTGAAAACTACAAGCCTTTTTACATGTATTGAAGTGTTCATTTCTGGGCTAACGCGTCTCAGCTCAGAGCGTGGAGCGAAAGCTTGCGCTGGGAACCTCCTGGGTCCGATTCCCCACCGCCCCCACCCGTTTCGGTCGGGATGAGTTTCGTACTGGCACGCGTTCGTGTTATCACTACTGCGTGATGCACGTTCAAAAACCCAGGTTAGCGGTTGTACTGCACTGGCTAAATTTCTCATCCACAGCTAAGAGACCGATTAGCCGTTGAGGCGCATCTCCATCAAGGCTGTATAAACATACAGAGCAAGCCAATTTGTTTTTTAATGAAAGGACACCAAATTGATAACGTTCAACACACTAAACCGATACATAGAGGTGGACGGCGCGGCAGTGATATCGCTTAAAATATTATCACGCAGAAAATCAGCGAGTCCAGTATCGGAAGATCAGGAGGCGATTCTGCCGCTCAAGTTAGAGAATGCTCTGACTATGATGACTGTGACGAGCAAAGGTGCTGCAAACACGAAACAATAGACGTCGACGCGATTTCAGTATATTGCACTCCTAAGCCTGACGACGGCGGACCCTGCAATTCAGGATCGGAAAACGCCGGCCAAAGTAAGTAATATCCATGCCAGACAGGTAATAAGAAATCTGCATATATCTGGGGTGTTCTTTCTAAGGGGGGAAAGTCATTTAAAAAGAAGACACTTGAGATTAAATATTCTTGCAGAATAACGTTATCGACCGCGGCGAACGCGATCAAGGTTACGAGCGTGAAGTAACAATTATTTCCTTCTATATCTTAAATACACTAATCAATTTTGGAAATAATTGAAATAACAGCATCCCAATTCAGGTTGTGTTGCTCATTGTCAAAATATGTCATAGCAGTTGTTAATATTCAGACGATTAAGTGATGTTCGACGGAAATCTCTCGCACATTTGATCAGAGGAGATAGCGAAACTACACTCAAAATGTACGGCGAAGGTCCCACCCTCCGAAGCAATGTCAGCTTCTGCAGCGGGCGAAAGTAACAAGTATCGGCGTTTTTTTTTCTCTTTTTTTATGACGGACATTACAGCCAGTAGCAGGTTTACAATTCAGTTGGTACTTCGCACCACGGGTGGAATGCGTCCCATACAAGTGCCTCGGCTGACGAAAGGTAGTGTGTCTTCTGCACCGCGACATTAGCATCGTCTGTTTCAGCTAGGCGCCAGTGAAGCTCGCTGCTTTTAGCACAGGACGACATATTTGAGAGGCGAGGACGGTAACTGTGTCGTTTCGTATGAGGCGAAGTGGCGGAAGATTTTCTAGCTCGTGTTGTCGAAGGTGACGGCAGGACGCCTTCATGTGTGACAATAGTAGGACGAGGCAATTGCTGCTTACTTGATCACAGCGAAAAGACTTGGTGAGCATACTAGTAGTTTTAGAGACAAATAAATTGTGATTTAAAGGCACAGTAGGAATCCTTCATTTATTAAAGTGAGCAGGGAAGCAGACAGAGTCTGGTGAGGCAGTACGTCGATGGGGTCACTCGAGTATTTCACGCAGTGTATCACATCGATAATCGTGTTCACAGTATTCTCCCGCCAACGCAAAATCAACAGAAAATTAAAAAAAAAAAACATTCACACCATCACAATTTCGAGACAAATTTTGTCACAGGAGTAAATACTGCACGAACGAAGAGAAGCCATCGGCGTAGAAGAAGCTTGCGCTTGTCTCGGCGGGCTAGGCTTATGCGATTGTCCAAGCGGGTGCACAGAGCAGTTCAACGTCAACTACACGACTGTTGAAATCATACATCGTCACACAAAAACTGCCTGCCACGATCACACGCTCACATTGCTGCGATTTTGCAATGCGACTTTTCTAAGGCGCGAAGACTAAAGACGTGATCGTACTGCTAATACGTCTGTATACACACTGTATGAGGCGGGTTTCTTCCTTGTATACAGAGGTCCTGCCCCACTGGTCCTACAAAAGCTTTCTGCAGACAAGTTTAAGTCAGGCGCATGTATGAAGCCAACGTGCTTCGAACATGCTTTGAGAGATATCCGCGGATAATTTTGTCGTCATCTCCGCGGAGAAACTCCGTGTCTTTAATAGGTATGATCAGTGTGACCATCGTCGAAGTGGAGGCATCGAGGCAGTGAGCACATCGACGGCGACTAACTTGGACGGCGGAGACGACCGCTTAATTCTCACATCGTAACCCAGAGGCTATGCATGGTGCATATAAGTGCGAACACCGGAACAGCTCTGCGACGTAGAGCCAGGTTACTTTCCACGGCGGAACTGACGTGGAAAACGGCAAGCGCCATGTAGAAAAAGAAAGTTCGCCAAGCTGTGACATCATTGACGTCAAGAAATTAGTGGAGGCGATTGGCTGGCGGAGTGATATTGATTCCTTTGGAGGCGGATTTGCCGCTGGGTTGTTAGACCGTCACCTACTATGAAGAGTCTACGTTCGCCGGAGAATATACCGCGGAAGAGAATCTATATTTATTTTTTTAGTTCTTTTTTTTTTAATTCTAACTGCTGCGCATATTTTGATTACGGGCAACACATGTTTGAGTGAAACGTGCCACCTGAAGTTCATATGTTAAAATATAATTACAGGATTGTGAGTTAGCAATCATATCCTTATACACTCCTCCTGGCGTCCGCAGCGGTGATAATGTTATCCCGAAGAAATTTTTAGTTACCTTTCAATTATTTTGTTTTGTTTGAGAGAACACACTTAATATTCATTCGCTTAAAGAGACACTGACACCACCCAATTGTTTTTTTGTTTTTGTTTTTGCCAGGCGGTTTTTTTATTTTGCCAGAACCCAACCAAAATGTTCCTAAAGCGTCGCGTATATTTTAATAAAGTCAAAAAACGCAACTGCTCGAAACCGAAACCAAAACTGGACTCGGGGGAAGAAGAAATATAGATGAGGAGAAATTAACTAAAAATCACGTAACTGTGCAACTCTTTTCTTTTTTCTTTTTTTTTTAATCAACGTATTTACAATCTTTAGAAGCTACAAAATTGTTTATTCTATTTTTTGGCCATTTTTAGTATTGAGTGTATGCTTTCGCTGAGCCACGACATTGATTATATGTGGTGGTTGTGTCTAAACCATAGAAAACGGCACGTGGCAACGGGGAAGAGAGTGATCGCGACTAAAACTGGCCAATTCTCGAGCTGCGGTTTTGGGTGAAAAAAAACAAACACAAATTTGGAGCCGCATATAGAGCGACACACCATTAAGTGTCTGCTTTAGTAATTGATATCCTGTTTCCTAGCCTCGTGCGAGGATCCCCTGTTGTGATTCGAAGTTCCCCTTTGGACCCATTCTTCCCTGCATCCCCCTTCTCTTTTCTTTCCATTATTATCCGAATACTCGCACATTAATTCATTCACTTTTTGTTTGCAGCTCAATCGGCACCGCCCACATATTGTTCCTACCCCAAATCGCATGCCCATTTCTACGAGCCTTACAAGTTTCTTTTTGTAAATCATGAACAACAATATCTTTCTTTTCCCAAACAATTCCAAGCAATTCCTAGACGTCTGCCTTAAAAATGGAAATATTATAAACTCCGTAATTGTGACAAAAAAAAATAATTTAAAAATCTCTAATTTGAGGTTCCCGCGCGAGTCGTGGACGCAGACATAGAACTGGCGCTTTCCTGCTGTTTCTGGCTGCGCTAAAAGGGGGTTGCTTGTAACATGGTAATGGACGTGCTTCTCCTATCTCGTGGAGCCTATGTATCCATCTTTGTACTTGTCGGCATTCGATCAAATATTGTCGCATGGCGCCAAAGGGCAGATTGGTGGCAGAGTTTGGCAACGCGACGTAGAGCAAAAGCTAATACCGTAAAATCCAGAGACCCTGGGTTCAATCCCCAACCCTCCTTGTTTCGATCTAGATGAGCGTCGTACTGGCGTGTGCGTATCACTACTGCGTGAAGCGGGTTAAGAATCTAAGACTAGCAATCGTACTGCACTGGCTGAATTTCTCATCTGCAGCTTGTAGCAGTGTCGCCATGCATTCTCTACCAGAATAAACTCACGCCGCGGGAACACGAACGTCTAATTTTTATTGTGTGGCACCAAACTGGAGTTACCCGAGTACTGAATTATATTTTCCTCGAAGAGTGAAGGTTACCTGGCACGGAAAAGGTCTTAAGAATAAAGCCACTACTAATTTTCCGGTCGCTCATAGTACAGCTGCATGGTTCAGCCGTGAAAAGTATCCATATTGAAAATAAGCGGAAGACAGGGAGATGGCAGAGTTATTGTCTTTGCCAATTCCGGCTCTGTTTTTGTACATTTCGATATAAGCGGTGTAGCGACTATTTTAAACTTAACCGACTTCCGTTGTTTCTATTAGAACAAGCAAGACCAAAATTATTTGACTATTTTAGAAGTCATCTAATTGCAAATCGATAATTTTACCGTACGTTTTCAAATTTCCAAAAGCGTGGGGGACTTGGTTGTTTGACGGCAAATATTATCCTGGCTCTTAAGTCTAGGGGAATCACTATACGCTTAAGGCGATACATAAAATGTGTCGTCAGCTACTAAAATCTGTAATGTTTTCGAAAATTTTCCTCAACAAAATTACTCAAGAACAAGCAAACTGTTTTTCTTACAGTAAACTGTCAAAGAAAATTATATAAATCGTGCGTTTAGTGCTGCTGGCTCTTTCTGTTTTTTTTTAATCATATTACAACCATTTGTTTACACTATTATTTCGTACAGATTACATTCAATTACGTGATCGAATGTACACTCGAAATATTTTATAAAAAATATCCCCCAAGTAAAACTTTTGAGTACAAGAATATAGCGCATTCATTACAACGTGGCTTACAGAACAATTTTGAGATTGTAACCTAGGCAATTTTTCCGTATGATGTGTCTGATATCTATGACTTCGAACTATTTTCAGGTGTCTGATGTGCTGATCGTTTCTGCAGCAGCGACTCAGCGTCACAGCCAATGAAATAAAAGATGTACATTTGGTACATATGTTACTTCGGTGTCTTTGTCGTTTCCATATCTGTCCAAATTTGTTCTTACTTCGGTAAGTGATGTTAGCTGCGTCAACAACCGCATAGAAAAGCACAGCCTTTAACGCAGAATATGATCGAGCATCTGGCTCCGCTCGTTCGCTTAACATTTATTTTTTGCGAGCTTTCAATTTGTCCTAGCAATAGTACTTTAGGGCACATACGTGTTCAAACTACCTTCTAAAACACTCCAATTTCCCACAGACTTTGGTATGCAGAAAACATTCGAAATGCCTGATATAATATTAAAGAACAACACATTTCCTAATGACCTTGCAACTTGGTTCAGCTGCCGTGACTATAAACTTTTCAACGCTTATCACCGAGACATAAAACGCCGAGTAATAGAGTTCAGGAAGCATGGGAAGTGTCTTATAGTTCGCGGAAGAAAGCTACACTGGGCGTGCTCTTAACACGATCCGGCCCAGTAGACGAAGACCGTATCACGCATAAGTGGATTGTTGGAAGGGTCTATATTTATGAAAATCCCGCTTTGGAACGTCCCCTTGAGTCAACCCTCCCCACATATGTTTCGAGGAGCCAATCGTTACAATA